TAGGGTGGCCAGGCCTGGGGAGAGGGGCTGAAGGGGACAGAGGAGGCCCGGTCTTGGGTCCTGGCAGGGACCTGGGTCAGTGGTACATGCAGCCTCTCAGTTAAAGCCTGCTTCGTATCTCCAGGGCCTTTGTTAGCCTAGAGCCCCGTGCCTGACCCTCCCCAGGGAGGGATGCCAAAGCCGACTGCACCCAGGGACCCCCCCCACCATGCTCCCCTGCCAGGAGCGATGAGGGAGGCCCACTTCCCATCCAGCCCACCCTTCTGCTCCAGCTCACTCTGGGGGGGACTTGGCCCCCCAGGCCTCTATGCAAATCCACACCCTGCAGCCCAGCTGTTCAGGAAGGACTTCCTCGGAGGTGGGGCTGGGGCTGGCTGCCCACCCAGGGAGCTCCCACATGTGCTGAGCAGAGGTGCAGGCCTCACCCCTACCCTCCCACCCCCGCCACCTCCCCTGCCCCAATCCCAGCCTGGGCTCTAGCAACCCCCTCCCCAGGGAGCCCAACAAGTGGCAGCTGCAGCACAAGGGCCATAGGTCAGAAGCCAGAGGGACTTCCTCAAACTGTCCTCCCCTTGTGACCTGGAGGGGCCGTGCCCAGAGGCAGGGTATGCATCGGAAGCCGCCCAGGGGGCCGCCCCACCTCAGTCTCTGATCAGAAGCAATAAGGCCTTTATGTGCCTGGAAGCCCGGGAGGGAGTGTGGGCAGGGTTGCCAGCCCGGCGGGGTCCGGCGGGGGCGGCATCCCCCCGGAACGGCCCCTCTCACCTCCGCAGGGACAGCGCTGGCCCCTGTGGGCGCCCCTGCCCTCCGCACCCGCCGCAGCCGGAGCCCCGCACCGCCGCCGCCAATGCCGCTGCCCCGACCCCCGACACCGCCCGCCGGCTGCTGGCAGTGGGACGGGCCCTGGGGCTGCGGGGGTGAGGGTGCCGTCCCCCGCCAGGCCCTGGCTGCTGCCGAGTGCCCTCCCTGTGCCATGGCCGGGCCCCCACCCGCCCCCCAGCCTCTGCCAGGGGATGCCAGCTTTTACAGCCTCCCGCCACCACCGCTGCCGCCCACCTCGGAGCCCCTCGAGACCCCGGCGCCCTCCCCTAGCCCCAGCCCCAGCCCCCAGGCCGTGTGCTGGCCCAGCGGCTGGCATTAGCTCTGCCCGCCCTGCCTTCTCTTCTCATATGCAATATCAGTCATTCACAGGGGCAGCCGGTCCCCAAAATGCAAGACGCCTTCAGCCCCCAACGGACCCCAGTATTGGCCGGCGCCCCCCATCTGCCGTTTTCCTTTCCAAATGAAAGGAAACCCATAAAACCAACAGAAAACACACACACACACACACACACACACAATAGGCGATTATTTATTTGTTTTTAATTTATTTTGTCATATTTTTGTAAAACGGCAGAAATGCAATAAAAACTATATTTCAACAGTGCCCGAGGTCAGAGCAGTGGAAAAGGGAGTGGGGGTGGGGGAGTCTGGGTGGCTGGGGCCTGGATTGGGCACCCCCTCCCCCCATCCTGGTACAGGCTGGCTTGACCCTTGGGGGCCTCCTCCCAAAAACTGGGTCTCGGCCACAGATGGAAAACTCCAGGCTGTGCCGCCTCTGAGACGGCCCAGATTTGGAGGCTAACTTCAGCCCTGGCTTCAGCCACTAGACAAAGGAAGGAATCTCTAAGTGCTGAAAAGAGGCGGCAATGTGTGCACAGGCCCCAGTCCTGAGTAAGACTCCTTCTCAATGAGGACAGAGTGGTGGTTTGCAAGACGCGCCCCCTTCTGGCACACCCACCTCCTGGAACATTGTCTGGGGAGCCAGAGACAGTGGGAAGAGCTTGTGGCATGAACATCGGAAGGCACCTGGCACCTGAGCCTCCTGCAGTCCCCGAGTTGCGATGCTCAGAGAATGGCACATTTGGGTATCCCCAGGACACGGGTGGCATTGGGATGCAGCAGGGATGTCCCACTGTGGGACGGACATCAGACCCAAGTCACTGGGACTCTGTCGTATGACTCAGGAACAGGAATGTGGCCTCTCAGACCCTCAGATTTGTCAGGAAGAAGAGGACAAATGTGTACACATCCAAAGGCTTAAGGCTCAGAGACCAACGTGGCCATGCAGGAGGGCTGGGTCAGAGGGCCTGGCTGGGGCCAGTGTAAGCAAGGGGCCCTTCAGGAGGCTGTGGAGAAGTCAGAGTTCACTGGAGGCAGGAGAACAGCCTGTGCAAAGGCGGAGAAAGTGGAAGGCAGTCTGAGGGAACAGTGCGGTACGGGGCACCCCAAAGGCAGGAGGGGAAAGCAGAGGCTGGCTCAGGGGCCCGGCGTCCTCCCACAGGCAGTGGGAGTCACACAGGGTGTGTGTGCCAGGTGGGGCATGTCCTGACAGACCCAGGAGTTCTAGGGGGAGGCCACAGGGAGGCGAGCTGGGACACAGCCCTGAGACCCCATCGGAGGGAGCTGAGGCAGGCGAGGGGAAGGAGGTGCCTGCCCAGCAGCCCTGCAGACCCATGGGCAGACAGCACAGGCAAGAGAGCCCCCAGCCACTCAAAGCAGAAACTGGGGGCCGGAGAGGTCTAGACAGGCCTAGGGGAAGGGCGGGGGTGCCCCCTGCTCCCACTCTGGCCCCTGGCCTTGGCAGCTGAAGTCCCACCATCTCAGTCATTCACAGACGGACACCGCAGGCCTGCCCAGGTCACACCAACCCTGGGGACTGGGACTCCCCAGCTGGGCTGGGAGCCTCCAGGGCATTCAGCCCAACCCAGCACTACTGACCCGGCACTACTGACCGTGGTCAACTGTGTATTTCCTGACCACCTGCCCTGTGACCACATGGACTCTACAGCACCATCCCTGTGGTGCAGACACTTCCGAGAGCTGGGAGACACAGCTGGGTGGCCGTGCTGTGCCTGGGCCGGGTCAGCCACTCCTTGTGTAGGATGGGAGCCCACCCTGACACTGTCCGTCCTTGGGAGAGATGGGCTGCCCAGGCCCGAGGGTCTATCTGGGGCAGGCGGACCCTCCATAGCCCAGAGTCTCTGCTAGCTCTGTGGCCCAACCCCACACCATCCCAACGCCCTCAGACTCAGCTTTCAAAACCAAGACCTCTGCCAGGCACGGTGGCTCACGTCTGTAACCTCAGCACTTTGGGAGGCTGAGGAAGGCAGATGACTTGAGCCCAGGAGTTTGAGACCAGCCTGGGCAACATGGCGAAACCCTGTCTCTATGAAAAATTTTTTAAAAATTAGCCAGGCAGTGGGGCACGGTCCCAGCACTTTGGGAGGCCGAGGCAGGCGAAGCACCTGAGGTCAGGAGTTCAAGACCAGCCTGGCCAACATGGTGAAACGCCATCTCTACTAAAAATAGAAAATTTAGCTGGGTGTAGTGGTGCACGTGTGTAATCCCAGCTACTCGGGAGGCTGAGGTAGGAGAATCGCTTGAACCTGGGAGGTGGAGGTTGTAGTGAGCTGAGATCTCGCCACTGCACTCTAGCCTGGGAGACACAGCGAGACTCCACTTTAAAAAAAAAAAAAATTAGCCAGGCATGGTGGTGTGTGCCTGTGGTCCCAGCTACGTGGAAGGCTGAGGTGGGAGGAATGCTTGAGGTTGAGGCTGCAGTGAGCTGTGATTACACCACTGCACTCCAGCCTGGGCAACAGTGCGAGACCCCAACTCAAAAAAACAAACAAAACAAAACAAAAGAAAACTAAGGACCCCCCCCCCAGCCGCCAGTGGGGGTGATAAGGGAAGAAGCGGTGTTCCCCTAGCCCCAGGCTTAATGGTCAGGGCCACAAACCTTCTGCCAAGAGCCTGAACACCCCCTACATACCCAAGTTCAGCCCCAAACCCAGCCCAGCTGGCAGAGGAGGGGTCCCCATGAGCGGCCATGGCACATGCCAATTGCCAGGTGCCGACTTTCTGTACAGCTCCTCTATGACCCAGCAAGGGTGAGGCCACTACCTGGGACAGCAAGACCGGCCAGATGCCATCTGTGCTGTCACCATGCCTCACGGGAGTGGCAGAGGCCGGAGACCCCAGGCCCCCAGGTGAGGCTGGCCGTCTCTGCGGTGGCTGACAGGTGCACTGCCCTGCTCGGCAGTATCCCAGGCAGGGGGCTGACCCTGCTCCATCCTTGGCACCATGGACCGTCTCTCAGGAATGACCTGTCCTTGGGGTCACCTTGACAGGAGAGGCAGAGGGGATGGTCCAGGCAGGTCTTGGCCTCGAACATGGTGGCCTCAGCAAGCCCACGAGAGAATCCAGCCGGTCCCGGAGCCCCTGGCGTGGGGGGCCCTTCTCACTCCTCTTGGTGACAACAGGGATGACTCCCAGGGGTTCCGTCCTCTGCAGCCAAGGTGTGTGGAGCAAAGACGCGAGGTCGAGTAGGAAAGACCCTTTTATTGGGGTGGACACGGAGCGCGCACTAGTCCATGATAAAAATAAAATGACTCAAGAGAAAGATCCCAAGGGCCGACTTCTCCCCGACGTGCGCACACGCTGAGTGAGGTCTGCGCATGGGAGAGTTCCAGGCAGAGCGTGGGACAAGACCGAGTCTCAAGGGCCTGGACCGGTGTCGGGGGGAGAAGGCCACTCGGCTGTCCTGGTGGGTCGGCCGCCCCAGGCCTGCCCTTGTTGCCCAGCCACAGTGAAGCCCCCACTAGAGACCCTCACAGACACACTCTGGTTCTCTGGAGAACTGGGGGCAGGAGTCGGGGAACTGGCCCGGTGGAAGGCGGGGGTCAGGGGACAATGTTGTGTTTTTTTAAAAAGCATCTACCAACATCACACTACTGGGTCTGATGTCCCCTTTAACCAACGCTTGATACAGGTTACAGCATAAATAAAAACTCAAGGAAAATAAATACATCGGCTCCTATGAGGTTGGAAGTGGTGTGGACGCAGGGTGTGGATGGGCCGGCAGGGAGGCGGGCGGGCGGGGTGCTTACACATGGCGGGCAGGCGGGTGGGCGACCGAGGAGCAGACCTGGCAGGAGGCGCCTGTGGGGTTGAGAGTCTTAAGTGTCCTCGTGCATGTCTGGGCTGTCGGTTCGCGCCACCTTGCGGGGAGGTGCGGAGCTCTCGCCTTCCAGCTCCACTTGCTCCTGGTCTCTCTTCTTGGCAGCGTTCTGGGGGACAGGGGAAAGAGAGGGGCTGTGAGTCATTTTTTTCGGACAGGCTCTCGCTGGAGTGCAGTGGTATGATCATTGCTCACTGTAGCCTCAACCTTCTGGGCTCAAGCAATCCTCCCAGCTCAGCCTCTGGGAGTAGCTAGGACTACAGGCACGCAGCACCACGCTTAATATTTTTACTTTTGGTAGAGATGGGGGTCTCACTATGTTGCCCAGCCGGAGGCTGTGAGTCTTCACATGGGTGAAGCTCCCAGAGTCCTAATGCCAGCCCAGGCCCCCGCAACAGCATCACAGAGGTAAGCCTGGAGTACGGTGGGGGGTCTTGGGGTCCCTGGTTGGGCAGTCCCTCCTACCACCAGGACCTGCCCTGCTAAGCCCTGCCCAGTTAAGCCCTGCCCAGAGCACTTCCTGGACCTACGGCCGGTGATAGACAGGTGTTTCCTGGGCACCTGGAGAAGTCACCCCAGCACGTGCAATGACACACAGGGCTGGTTTCTCAAGCACTCAGAGGAGCGATCCACCCAGCCTGGGAATAAAGGCCTTTGGAAGCCACTGGGGATGCTGCATATCAACGCAAGAGAGAAGCACATGTCTCCTTCCCCACTGTGGAAACCAAGGCCTGGAAGCAGGAGAAGGGGTGGGGTGGGCCCAGCAGCTTGGATTTTCGGCAACAGTCACTTTGCCACAGAGTCCCCCCACCTTCCAACTTTGCCCAGGGTAGGTAGCCACCCAGTGTTCAATGTTAAGTAAAAAAAGCAAACTTGCCGGGCGCGGTGGCTCATGCCTGTAATCCCAGCTACTCTGGAGGCTGAGGCAGGAGAACTGCTTGAACCTGGGAGGCGGAGGTTGCAGTGAGCTGAGATTGCAGCACTGCACTCCAGCCTGGACAATAGAGAGACTCCGTCTCCAAAAAGAAAAAAAAGAAAGAAAAAATAAGAGGGCCGGGTGCAGTGGCTCACACCTGTAATCCCAGCACTTTGGGAGGCTGAGGCAGGTAGATCACTTGACATCAGGAGTTCAAGACTAAAAATACAAAATCCACTAAATCTACTAAAAATACAAAAATTAGGCCAGGCATGGTGGCTCACACCTGTAATCCCAGCCTACTTTGGGAAGCCAAGGCAGGCGGATCACCTGAAGTCAGGAGTTCAAGACCAGCCTGACCAACATGGAAAAACCTCGTCTCTATTAAAAATACAAAATTAGTCAGGCATGGTGGTGCATGCTTGTAATCCCAGCTACTCGGGAGGCTGAGGCAGAATCGCTTGAACCCAGGAGGTGGAGATTACACCATTACACGATTATAAGATGGCACCATTGCACACCAGCCTGGGCAACAAGAGCAAAACTCCATCTCAAAAAAAAAATAATGATAAAATTAACTAGCCGGGCATGGTGGTGTATGCCTGTAATCCCAGCTACTCGGGAGTCTGAGGCAGGAGAATTGCTTGAACCCAGGAGGTGGAGCCTGGGAGGAGAAGGTTGCACTGAGCCGAGAACATGCCACTGTACTCCAGCCTGGGCGACAGAGCAAGACCTCATCTTAAAAACAAACAAAAACAAAAACAAAAGAAAAAGAAGAAAAAATGTCCCATGTGCAGAGGCAGCCACTGGGAAGGGAGCTGGGGCACCAGAAGCGGCGGGGAGATGACTCTTCACTGCAACTACACCCTCTCATTTTCACTTTTTAGAGATGGGGTCTGGCTTTGTTGCCCAGGCTGGAGTGCAAAGGCACAATCATGGCTCACTGCAGTCTCAACCTCCTGGGCTCAAGCGATCCTCCCACCTCAGCCTCCTGAATAGCTGGGATAACAGGAACATG